AATAAGCAACTACAGAAAGGTTTAAAGGAACTCAAAGCAGAATTAGTGTCTGAAATGAAAAAAGAAATCTCTAAACTCATAGGGGAGGGGGGCAACTTAGGTGCTTCTTGTCTGTAATATTTATCTCTTTATAAATATTAGCCTACATTTTAATTATCTTTTTAGAAGTTACTGCTGGTAGGTACCCTGGGTAGAGAAGCCTGTATAACAGGTACCTGCTAAGTGCCTCCCCTGTGCAGGATTCTGTCTTGTGCTCTGAGGACTCAAGAGTGAGCAAAGTTCCCTCCTTCAAGGACTGGCAATAGACAAACTATACACGGACAAATGAGCGGGCAGCAGATGTGACAGTCACAAAGGGAGCAGGAAAACAGGGCAAGGCGCAAGAACTGTAGGAGGTGGTTAGGAATGCCTTTTGCTCAGTCTGACAGATTTGGTGAATCCCAAGATCCTGACAGCAGGCCTCTGTATCCCCAGCTATCAGCGCTGGTCCATACTGGGAAAGAAACTCTTTTTGAGATGGTCTCACATGCAGTGCGGTCTGGACTTGAGCTCACTTTGTAGCCCAGGCTGTTCTTGAACTCATGACAATCTTGCCTCAGCCTTCCGAGTGCTGGGATCACAGGCGTGCGCCATCATGCCCAGCTTTTCTGTGCATAGTTTAAAATTCATGATTTAGGAGATAAAAAAGGTCAAATTTCTTAGTCAATAAAAACTTGTGACAAAATGGAGAAAAATCCATTCTTTTGTTGCTTACCAGTAAAGCACTTATAAAAATGGTGGAATTAACCAACTACTTCTGATCACAGATGTTTTATATACACATAGCTAACCTAAAAAAGTTTATAGTTCCTGTAAGTGCATCTTAGGTTAAATGTGATTTAAAAAATAAACCAAAAAGTAGGCTAATTTGATCTGCTGACTTACAGATAACTGAAGCTTGTAGGAATGCATAGTTTGGAATAATGAACTGGTGCTCACTGGCAATAAAACAGATGCTGAGTCCCCATGTGGAACCCGTTACGGCCCACAGCCTACTAAAACCTCACTGTCAACAGAAGGAATGGAAGCAAGGGAATACCACTGAGGAAGAAAGGGTGGGGTCCCGAGGACTCAGAGGTACGAGGAGGGTGGAAGCGTGGGCCTAAGAGCACTGCCTCCCACGCAGAGCAGCCACGTACCATCTGCTTGTCGGAGAAGAGCGAGCGGTTGTGGATGAGGGCCATGCTGTGCGTGGTGTGGCAGCGCCCACAGGCACAGGGCTCGGCGATGCGGCCCCGGTCTATCTCCACCCGGGTCGTGTGGCAGCACACTTGGCACTGGAAGAAGGCCTCCTGCATCTCGGGAATCAGCTGGGACGTCCGGATGACCATGCCGTTGATGGTGATGAGCTGGTCGATGTCTGCGAGAGGACAGAGGTCGGCCTGCTCACCATCGCTCTTTACGCACGGTGCAGAGCACGATCTGGCAAGGGACTTCCTGTGTCTAGTCACCCTCCATGCCTGCACTCACAGAACCACTGCTAAGTCCCACAGTCTTAGTAAAAGCAAGGGTTTAGAGCCACATGACCCTGACTGATAAAATGCAACTTTGGAGCCGTTCTTAGCCTTCCTGTGCCCCATTTTGCCTCATCTACAGAAGTGGAGCGAAAAAGGCCCTACCTAGCTGCTGACTCAGCATATACTAGGTCCAGTGAGATGGCGCTGGCAGGAGAAGCACTCTACCTCGCCCTTAGCATCACAATCTACCCCGCAGAGCCCCTTCTACAGTCTCATCCTCACTCCTGCTCCTGCCTCCTCTATCTGGATCATCCCCCCAGGGCATCCCCAACCCCCCCAGCAATGCCCACTTCTGTCCAAGGAAGTCGCACTGCTCTGGGTAACCAGCAAAACATGGTTGGGGTTACAGTCTGCTGCTTTTGAAGATCATCCCTCTCTGCTAGTTGTAACTGCTGACTCACAAGGTCTTCAGGATTTATTCTACCCTATCTTCCTTCCATTTACACGTTCTTGCTTTTCTCCAGCTAAGCCTTTATTTTAAAATGCAATTAGCAACACTTGACATACTTTTTTTGAAACAGGTTCTTGCTACACAGCCTAGGATGTTCTTTAACCATGTAGCATAGGCTGGCTTTAGAAACTCCTAGCAATCCTGCCTCAGCCTCCTGAGTGGTGGGATTACAGGCATGAGACACGCCTGGCAGGGAGGCAAAATCTTAAATTAGCTGAGTGACCTGGCCATTCCTTGATTGCTAAAGCTAGGATCACTTGTGACCTCACCTTGGAGTTCTTCACCAATGATGCCCTACTTCTGAACCCCACCCCAATTTATTCCCTTTGACATCCCCATCATAACTATCCCTCACAAAGACAATGTCAGGAACCAATTTCACAAGAGGAAAAGAATTATACTTCTTTCAAAAAATAGTGTAGTAAAAATTAGAAAGAAAACTTTGTCCATGTTTATTGGCTATGTTATTATCATAACTTTTTTCCATCTTTAGCCTATTTCTCTCTAGAGCTGTTTATTAACTTTTAACAACTTAAAAAAAATCATATTGGAAATTGAACCCTGCCTGGGCCTTTACACTGAGCTATATGAGACAGCGTCTATGTCGCCCAGGTGTGACCTGGCAGTTATCATCCTCCTTAGTCTCCCAGAGTACTGGGATTAGGGAGAAGAGCTTATTACCTGCCTGGCTTCTTTTTGGCCAGCTCAGCCCGCTCTGAGGATGGGGACTGGCATGGCATGTGGTGCCAGGATGCTGGGGATTGAACCAGGTTTCCCTGTGCCTGCCTAAGATTGCCTAAGCAGGCACTTTATTTATTTTTTTAAAATTATTTATTTATTTATTTATTTATTGTATATGTGTGTGTGTGTGTGTGTGTGACCAGCTCAGCCCACCAGGGGGCGGGCTGGCTGGCATGTGGTGCTGGGGGATTGAACCATGGTCCCTTGTGCTTTGCTAAGCTTGTTCTAAGTAGGTGCTTTAGACCACTGACCCATCTCACCAGCCCAAGCAGGCACTTTAGATCACTGAGCTATCTCACCGATCCTGCCTGGCTTTTTCTACAACTCTTCTAATATTCCTATGCTTTACTCCTAAGCCACTATTGTCAGGACCCTGATACCCCATAAATTAAGCTACTGCAGAATTCTGATTTCCAACATACTTTGCATAAAAGGACGTCAAGAATCTCTCTTCTGTTAAATTTAAAATCTTCTCAGAGTATCAATGTCTTCTTAGCGACTTAGGAATAAACTCCATATTTTGAAAATTGGTTATTTAAAGCTTCCTAGGACCTGGGTTTTCCAACCTCACTGAAACACTGCCTCAAATTCCTTGGCGTGGCCAACCATGTCAGTGTCCACACACAGCTCTCGTCTGTTTCCCTATTTGTGCCTGTATCTCTTCTTTCCACGAGTGCAAGATCTGGTATTAAAGCTCAGCGGTAGAGGGCTAGGCCCTTGGCTTAAGCCTTGGCACCCACCCTCCACTGCTTTCCAAATCCTAACTGGAATCTTTTATCATATCTTTTTTTTGGGTCTTTTTAAGACAGGGCTTTGCTATGCAGTTCAGATTGAACTTGAGATCACTTTGTAGCCTGGGATGGTCTCAAACTTGCAAAGATCCTCCTGCTTCGGCCTCCCAGGTGCCAGGAGTACAGGTGTGTGCCACCACACCTGGCTCATATCCTTTCCCTGAAGCGAGCCCTGTGTGTTCCCCGAGCTATCTCCTGTGCTGCTCTTCCATTATCATGCCTCATCTTTTATTTATTCCACACCAGGTTTCTTTCTTGAGCAAGAGCAGGGATCATGTTCTGTATTTATTTTCCACAGTAACTAAGAATATGCTTACCTATGGTAATAAAATAAAGGTAGATTTGTCAACTTGCGTAAATTCACTTTCAGGTAGGAGACTGTAAATTATTGCTATTTTGGTTGGTAATGCTTTAATTTTTTAATCAGTATGTACAAAATATAATGAGTATACTCATCATTGCAAATTAGTGCATATACATATCGCATCTTAATCCATTTTATCTCCTCTTCTACCCTTCCATGGGAAGATTCCCTTCCCATTTCCATGAAGTTTGCCTACATTTTTTTTTCACTATTTAAAATTTGAGTTTCTCATATAAAAAGACCAAGCAATTTTTATATCAGATATTGGGGCGAGTTACCTAGAAAAAGCATGGTGGATCCATAAGTATGGACAGTTACTGAATCTGTATTTTTGTCCAATTTATACTCCATCACTACTAACACCATCACAAGGTCTTTTAAAAGTTCCTTGATGAAATACGGTTGTTAACTTTTATCTTTCACCTTCCTGCTAGGGAGCACTTACCTTCAGGATTTAGGTTTCTCATATTCTTTGTCTTTAATGCATTGAACGGTCTTACTTGAATCTGATGTTCTAAGATGGAGTCAGGGTAACGCTCAAAGAATATCTCATTAACAGCCATGTCAAAGGTTGGGATAACCTCCTGTAAAAACAATATGAAGATGCCTAGCTATGTTTGAATTCTTCGTTCATACTAACAAAGTATAAAAAACAAAAATCACGGCCTACCTCCAAAGCACCACCCTACAGAATCACACTTAACGTCATTCCCTAGCCTCAGGTACACTAAACCATCTTACCTGCATATTCTCATTTGAGATTTGTGGTAATGTATGCTAACGTGCCTTCTCAACATACTGGCATATTTTATGCTTTTGATTAGCAAGGAAAAGGATCCTGAGCTCACCATTTTGTTTTTCTTCCATGATGAAATGGTATTTAGATACATTAAATCACATTTTATCCAAATTTAATATTGGGGTTAGGGAGATAGCTCACTGATTTAAGTGCCTGCCTGCCAAGCACAAGGACTTGGGTTCTATGATTGGTACCGCATGCC